TGTCTTCGATAATCATTAATTATCAAATAATTAAATATCAAATAACACATTTTGTTTATTCAATATGACAGATTATGGTATTCAATATTTATATTCGATTAAACACAAATACTTTTACATTCGTTCAAAATATTGACTAATTATTTTAATTAAAAAATACCGACCAATTAATTATTATAAACATATTGATCCAATGAATATAATTCATTTTAAACGAGCGTAAACGCAACAAAAAAAATCGTTAGAAAATAATTTAATCGTCGTAGCGCGATGCAATTTGTAATATCGTTTACGGATAAATGAATTGGAAAATTTGATGACGCAGTTGAAGGAGGAGGAACGATCATCACGATGATCGATGATGATGATGATGATGATGATGATGATACACGTTGGTAAAGATAAATGCTTATAAACTTTTTATTGCTATCGCGTGGATTTAATTTGCGTGACATATCGAGAGCATGCAACAAACGAACGAACGAACGAACGAACGAACGAACGAAGGAATGTTTGCGTCGGTTCTATCGAAGAAATCGAAGAGACAAGAAGCAGGAAGCAGGGTACCATCATCTTCTCAGCAAGAGAATTATCTACTAGTTCGATGGACCCGTCTGTCAGCGTTAAACTACGATCGTTACAAAGTGATAAAAGTACTCTTGGTGAAGAAAGATTGAGAAAGAGAGAGAGAGAGAGAGAGAGAGAGAGAGAGAGAGAGAGAGACAAAGATGGATAAATAGATAAAGAGATATAGGCAAAAAGTTGGATATATACGGGGTGAATCATTACTATTCTAAATTGGTTGGATCCAAAAAATGTTTTTAATTATAAATTATAAATAAATGTTTTTAACACTAATATATATATGTATGCATGTGGGAGGGTCGACAATTTTTTCGTGAACCCCCAACAAGAAAAATTTAATATATTTATTTATTTATTTATTTATTTATACTCCGTCCCTTTCGGGTTTGGAGGGCTTCCTATACAAAATATTTAACACCTCTTATATACTCTATCTCAATATATTCTAACTTTATAACAAAAACTAAACTAAAACCAATTTTTTGAACTAACTAACACATAACAAAACACTTCTATATACAGAAAAATTTGATATATATATAGGGTGAATCGTTACTATTCTTAAGTGGTTGGATTCACAAAATGTTTTTTAATTATAAATTACAAATAAATGTTTTCAACTAATAAATAATAAATTAATTTTGTCGTGTGTTGTTTTTTGATTGCTTTCTTTTCAAATAGGATTTATGCGACGAGTACGATATATAATGTAACGTAGTTCATTCAAACTTTTCGCTTTTTACTTTTTTGAATACAACAAATACGTAAGGAATTATTTTAGATAGTAATTCTTATTGACTCACCCAGTATACGTGTATACATGTGTGTCCTATGTGTATTTCATTCAAACGTGGCATCCTAATGCCACCAGTAATATCGGACTGCGAGAAAATGAAATGTTCTTCTCTTCCTTCCCTTGGATACTCTTTTCTTTTCTTTTCTTTTTACTTTTATCTTCTTTCGTGGATAGAAGAGAATGTAGTAGGTTGGTGAAGTTGAGGAAATCCATTCGACCTTCTCTCCCTTTTCTTTTCTTTCTTTCTTTCTTTCTACTATTCTCAACCCTTTTTTTTCTCTCTTTCGCAAATATATATTCTTCGTTAAAGTATTTCGATTACATATTGACGATAGTAATAAAGAAATATTTTATTCGATGTGAAATAAAATGAAACAAAAGAAAACAAAACAAAATAGAAAGTAGAAAAGGCTGGTTAAATGAAAATTCACGACAAAAGGCTCATTGAAAATTTCGATGAGTTTTCCAGTTCAACCCTAAATAGCTCAGCCTCTCTCAGTCTCAACCCCCTTCTAACCACCCCCCTAACCCCGATCAAAACTTTGTCCTTGAAGTTTTCTTACAGTCCATTGATTGCCATTCCTAGAGCATCCTACTATCGTTCTTTCTCTTTCTCTTCTTCTCTCTTTCTCTCTTGTACGTATGAATAAAGAAAGTAAAGACCGTTCGTCCCATTGTTTGTTCCTTTTGATTGATCCTTAATTAACTATTTTCGAACAAACGCACACACAAGCACATACTCTTAAAGTTTTTTCGGTAACTTTAATTAATTTTCATTTTCCTTCTCTCCTTATTTATTTCTTTTTCTTCTCAATTTATTTTCTTCCTATCTTTGAGATATTTAGTTCGATTGCGTGTTTTAATTGTTAAGTTGATTCATAATTGTTATTGGGCATATTATATTGTCTACACACACGCACACAAGATGAATTTAAGAATAAATTTTAATCAATCTACTAGCACGTTTCAAAATTTGTAATAATGATATCAAAAAATACAAACATAAGTGTACGAGCACTTGTTAACGATAAAGTTAAAATCAATAAAAATATCATTAAATTGCACATTAATTATTCGTTCACCTTTTATATTATCTTGTTTACTTTTTTCTCTCTCTCTCTTTCTCCTAATCGTTCATAGATTTAGTTTAGTGGCTTAAAAAACAAAAAAAGGGGATCGTTACTAAGGGATTATTTACAAAATCCGAACGAGTGTCCCATTTTCGGGCACGACACGATCGACCCGAATTCGTTGGATTTGTATTCTTTTTTTTTTTTTTTATTTTTTTTGTTTGTACGTTTGTTTTTATTCGAAAGATTATATGCATCGATGTGATATCACGGTATGTGTGTGCTGTGATGTTAATCGAGTATTAACCCGCGAAGATTAAAGCGAAACGTTTCGATGAACGTTACCGCGATATTCAAATCGATTTCAAAAAATAGGACGTTTACGTAAATTACATACACGCGCGTTTACATATGTATAATAAATACAACACGATAGATACGTACCCTCTCTCTCCCCCACACACACATACACAGACAGAAATGCGTAGACATATTACATACGTGTACGTAACGAAATTGACAAGTATTTTTTTGTATGTTCAATCAAAATTCAATTCGTTTTATATCGAAATGTCATTAAAACGTCGATAACCTTGTCCTTTGTGATATAACGCGTGCGATCGGTACTAGATTTACTGTGGAAAATTGAAAATGTTTTTTTTAATGGTGGGTTACGCCAATCGGAAAAGCCATCCCTTGTGTCTACCAATTCTCTCTTTCTCTCTCTCTCTCCGTCTGTCTGTCTGTTTGTCTGTCTGTTTGCCTTTGCCCTTCTCTATTCGTGTCTGTCTCTTTCTGTAGAAATTCGACACCCGAGAAACCGTCACGCGATATTGAACTGCTCTACGATCCGAAACCATACCCACTCGTTATTAGTCGATTAGTTTGTTCTACCTCAATATGGCTATTTCATACTAATTTACACCGTACACGCTTCGTATCCGGTTCGTAAACGTTCGTTAGTTCGTTCGTTCGTTCGTTCGTTCGATCGAACGAACGTCGTCGAATCTTTCGTTCGAAAATATTTCGCGAATTATTTTGAAAAAAGTTATGAACACGACGAAAAAAATTTTCCGAACATTTTTATCGACCTCGCGTATATTTTGTCGTTTAAAATATAAAAGGAAAAACAAAAAAAAAAAATAAAGGACAAAAAATATCACCGCTTTTGGAAGAAATTGCTCTTTTTTTTTAATCGTAAAAAATAATATACATACATGCATATGTATCGCGTATAGTTGAAAGATACAAAAATAAAACAACAACAATAACAACAACAAAAAATGTATTAATAAAAATCTATGCTATGAAGAAAAATTTCGATTCTCTTTTTTTTGTTTTTTTTTTTTTTACTTTCCAAACTATTTGTCGTCTAATAACATCGAATAGTTCGGGTAGAAAAAAAATATTCTATTAAATATTAATATATATATATTACAATATTAAAAAGGATATAAAGAAATTCAATGAAATGCTCTCTCAATTTATTATTGAATAAATATATAATATAATATATATATAGATGCAAAGTTACTTCTAATCTTTTCTCTTATTCCCTTTTTGTTTCTCTCTTCGTGAAAACTTTCATTCTTGTTTTTGTCCCGAACCTTCGCTTTCCGCTTTCTGCTCGGCTTTTAAGGGGAATAGTAAAAAGTTCAATATCGTACTCGAAAAGCGTAGGAAGTGAATCCTAGGGATGTTCGCGCACGTGCACCACACACCACCACGCGTACCACCATCAACCACTTTAAAACCGAGATCGCGAAGTAACCCCCAACGATGTTGCATTGACTTTCGAGTAGAGGAGAAAACGAAATGCGAGAGAAGATAGACCCCAACTTCTTCCTTCTTCTTATTTTCTTTCTCTTTCTCACTCTTGTATCCTCCACCCTTTACTTTTTTCTTTGATAAAAAGGGACGTGGAATTGGTTGAAAGTAACTTTTGACTTGGATTAAACTTTGTCGCGCATTGGGAATGGCGTGGGCGAACTCTCGCATTCAAGATTTTATTGAAATTTAATGAAATTTAATGAAACCAATGGTTGGTATATGATGAATCACGTTGAATTTCTATGGAAAAGAAGAAGAAGAAGATAAAAAAAATGAATATTATCTGATCGAGTTGGTAAGAGAAGTTAGAAATGTAGATTGATTCAATTCGTTATTCGAGTTAATTAAATTTAATTGGGAAGGAAAAAAAAAAGTATTTCTATTTCTTTTTCTTTTCTTTTGTATTGTATATTAGTTCTTTTTTTTTGTTAATTTATATTTAGAATATACTTAATAATACATGAATAATTATTTATATCAGTGCTTTGGGGGATCCCGTAATTAAATTTAAGAGTTGTAAAAATTTAAGTAAAATTATAGCAATTCCTGGAAGTGGAATGGATAAAGAAAATTCATTAAAAATTAGTTTAGTATAATTACATGTATGGTACGTGTATCAGTTTATGATAGTGATAGAGTTTAGATCCAGGGCTCGAGTTAAATGGAAAATATTTGAGAGAAAGTTTTGATCTAATAATTTTGTATTTAATTTTTAACAGGATATTGTCAGAATGCTGAACCACGTGGATCATTTGGAAGTAAAAGTATCGCAAGGAGGATGGATCTTCTGCGTGACAATGAACGTCTCGACGAACGACGATTCAAGTAACTATGTAATGGATTATTATTATAGTTATGTTCGCGACTGGTAAACCTCTCTCGATCAGCTTACAAATTCATTATTTTTCAATTTAACGAACAAAACGAACCTTTATTCCAATCGATTTTTCATTGATTTTTGTTTCTATTTTTACAATATATATATTTGATAGATAGTTAATTTTTTTCTTTTTTTTTTTTTGTATACGACAATTCATTGGTAAAAAAGTATTTGCAAAAATGTTAATATTGTTCGTTCGTGTAATTTGTAAAGGTTCGTAATATACTTTGAACTTCGATCGATGTTTTGAAGAAATAATGTAAAAGAAGTAATCGTGAGATAAGAGACAATGTGTCAATGGTCTTGGAGTGCGACTCTATCGTTGGTTCTTCTACTTGAAATACTACGAAACAAATTCTTTTATCGTTTCGTATTGAAATGCATTTTATTAATGGTCTATTAAAAAAAAGGTAGAGATACTGAAAAGAAGGCCGAATTTATTAATAGAATTTTATTACGATTTCTTTCCTACTGAAAATTATTATGAAATCTTTTTTTAATTCGCGTTTAAAAATATTATGAGAATAATATTTATAATTTCGTTATATTAAGCTTGAAAACTTTGAAGAAAGATGAGAACAACTTGATACTGCTTCTTTTTTTTCTTTTTCTTTTTCTTTTCTTCTCTCATCATTTTTGTAATTTTTATTCGAATTCATTAATTAAGATAAAATATGGTAAAATATACTTTGAGTCTCTTTGCATATTATAAATGAAACTTTTGAGAAAATATATTACCTTAGTAAATCTAAAATTAACGAACACGAAGGGTGTATGGAAGTTGATATTAAAATACCTTAAAAAAAAAAAAAAAAAAAAAAAGAAAAAATGAAAAAGAAATAAAGAAAATAAATCAACTTACTCGCGTAGCAAGTAAAATTATCATTCGAACGCAACGTGTTTCTATACAAAAATAGAACGCGACAGGCGTGCTACTGTAAAAAAAAAGAAAAGAAAAAAAATATCAAAAAGTCTCGTAACAAATGATAAAACGATAAGTATAAGCTTTATTCAAATAGCATCGATCGTTGTTTAAATCATTTTCACGTGTTATCAACTTGCCGTTAGGAAAAAGTACGACCCAAAAAAAATACTTCGAAGATTATTTTCTTGTTACGTAGTTGTTTCAAACTTCGTCGAAAAAAAAAAAGAAAAAGAAAAAACTATTGAACGTCGTTCCTAGTCAGATATAAATATATGGATGGTCGCGTTACTAAGAAACGATTAAAGATAAATCTGGAAACGAAGCGTAAAAGCATCGAAGCGAATAGAATAAGTAGACTGGATGGGATGGGACGAGATGAGATGGGGTGAGGTTGAGAAGGGCGGGGTTGGGGGGGGCAAGTTAGTGGACAGGTGGTATGGGGGAAATAAAAGTGTCGATTTATGCGGTGGACGACCGATGTTGTGAACGCGTTCGAGAGGAAACGGTCTAGACTTTGTTGTTGGTATATATAGAAAAGAAGGAAGGAACAAAATAATACGAGTAAAAAGAATAAAAAAAGAACAAAAAAAAAAAATAGAGACAGTAAGAAAGACAAAGATAGATGGATAGATAAAGCTAGAAAGAGAGAGAGAGAGAGAGAAAAAGAAAGGAAGGGTAAGAAACAGGAAAGATAGGTGAGGGGTAAGAGGGTGGGGAAGAGAGGAGTGAGGAAGAGGAAGAAAAAAAATGTGTGTAAGAAATTGAGGGAGGAAGAGGGAAGATAGGTGAGAGGTAGGGGGGGTTATGGGTGGGAAAGGGGTAGGAAGAGGAGATGAAAAAGGATGGTAAGTTTGAGGAGGAGAGAAAAACGGTAGGCTATGTTGTCCATTAGCTGGGACGTGTCTCTCGATGGGGAGAAGATGCTCGAAGAGAATACAAGGGGCCTCTCCTTGGAGGGAACGTCGAAGGATGAGAAGGACGAGGAGAAGAAGGATGCCCTGTCCCGGTTAAACGGAGAAAATAAAAACGTCGGTCTTCATCCATCGGAGGAGGTGGAGGAAGAGCTTCGTCCGAGAGCTTCCTTCCTTCGCCAGACTCTGAATACGAGTGAGTAAAGAAGAAGAGAGTCTCTTTACTTTACTACTTTATTTCTTTTTTTCTTTTTTTTCTATTTTTCTTCTCTTTTTTTCTTTTTTTGGTCTTCTTCAGTTTTCCCTCCTTCTCTGTTCTGTTTTCTGTTTTTTTTTTTCTTTCTTTCCTTTTTTCCTCTTTCTATTTTTCAATTTCTCGAAAGTTTTTCAATCGATAAACGCGGGCTCCCGATTAAATTGTTTCTTTTTTTGTTAATCCCGTTAAATGCCTCGTAATTTTTATATACGGATTAAATTATGCAGATAAACGTAGGAATGATTTTGAGAATTGGGTGTAATAATAATTGATACGGTAGCATTGATAGGAAAAGAAAAGTATGATTTTGTTATGTTTATTTTTTAGAATAAAGAGTTACGAATTATTTGAAAAATTTGTCAATGAAAGAAAATATATAAAGAATTGGAAATAATATTAATTGGGTTTGCGAAAAGAAACAAAAAAATAAATTTGTTCAATTATTAATATCTTCAAATTATATTGCATAAGTATTAACGATAGATAAATAATCGTGCGTTAGCAAAATTTATTCCGTGCTCGAGTATAAAAAAAAAAAAAAGAACTTATCGTTTTTATTTTAATATGAATTATTTAAATGACAAAATTTCAGCGACAACGACGACGACGTTACTCGGAGAAAGACGAAGAACAACTAATATTAACAACGATAAGACAAGAACGCGTAAGAAAAATCGTCGAATGAAAGATAATTCGCGAAATAATAATCCATTGTATAACGTTGATACGGAAGTTCGTGAGAACGAGATAAAAGGTAGCGGAAGAATATCACAAACGAGTTTAGAAAAATTAAACTTGGATTCGTCTGTCTTGTCATCGTCGTCGTCGTCGTCGTCGTCGTTGTCGTCATCATCATCATCGTCGTCGAAAAAGTCGAGGTACTCGCAAACGAGAAAGTTTCGTGCAGAACGACGAAGAAGACGGAAGAATAGGGATAGGAAAAGAGGTGGTGGTGGTGGTGGTGGTGGTGGTGGTGGTGGTGCTGGTAGAGGTAGAAAAAGGTCCAGGCAAAACGAGGATAGAAAGGACGACGATGAGAGACGAGCTACGAAGTTTAAGAAACGACCGAACGATCCCAACGAACGCGACCAACTCTTCAACAATTCTACGAACATCGGTTCGACGTTTTTTAACGTTAAAAACGTCAGCATTTTGGGACAGGATTCAAGCAATTTCGAGAGTTTCGATTCGAGCACCGGCGGTCCTTCCAATCTTCGTGCTCCACCAATGACGACTGCGACGATAGCTGGGGAGAAAAAAAGTTTAACCCAAGTTTTACCTCGTCGGGATGTATATGCCGAAAATGTTGAGAGAGAACTTTCCAAACAGCTGGAAAAGGAGATCGCTAGATCGGGTATATATTTAGTTTGTTAATACATTTTTTTTCTCTTTCGAACAGGAGGAGAGGGTTCGAAGATAGGTTACGAAATATGAGATAGGAATAATTTTGTTATCGTATGTATTGAATATTGACAACTTTCTTTTTTTAACGATGACGATTGACACGTTCAATTTATTTATATTCACTTTCATAAATAATATATCTTTAGAACGTGTTTTTTCTTTTTTTATGTATAATAATTTAAGAAACAAATTAAAAGGAGTACCCTGCATTCGTACCTTATCCTCGATTAATTAATAATGCCAGAATATTTTCTCTTATAAATTATAATTAATACGACAGGTATGATCAATTTAAACGATCGAGTTCTTAGCAGTTCGACTAATCATCGAGAGACATCATTTTACGATGATAAAAATAAAATATCCAACGAGATTCCCGTGGATGACAGAGCAAGATTCGGTAATTCTCGTTACGATGCTGACAAAATGTTAGGTTATTCTCGTACGGAGGAAGATTTACCAATACTTGACCTTGAAAACGAGGTACTTGCAAGAACAATGAAGGATTATAACGCTTACATGACGTCAAGCTTAAAACTACGTCAGGATCGTCCAAAATTCACTTCCCCATCTCGGTTACATGATCAACCAATCGTCCCTTTAACTAGTACGAGTAGCACAACTACTACTACTACTACTACTACTACTAGCAATACGTTCAACGAGGATAATCTAAAAGGCGACTTATCCTGCATAAACGGGACTTTCTTGCCGGCTCCACTAGCGCGACACGCTCTTATCAAATATGTAAAGTGAGTATAGGGAGATTTTGTATGAATTATTCAATTCGTTCGTTCGTTTGTCACATATAAATATAATATATGCATGTATATAGTGTGTATGTGTATGTGTTCTAAATCAAAAATTTTCAATGCTTTATTTTATGCATACGCGCGGATACTAACAAACACAATTTCACAATGTTTTTTTTCGTTTCTTTTTTCTTTTTTCCTTTCAACACTTGGAATCATTATTCGAGTAAAGTTAAAGAAAAATTGATCGTTTAAAGTTGGCCAGTTTGTCTTGGGCAATGCATTCGGTTAAAATTCAAAGTGGAAATGGAGTTACTTTTAAATGTACACCACCATAGTATGTATATGTGTATACTTGTAGAAAGTATTCGAATTCAAACGTGCAAGCTGCTGCTTTTCGAAACGTGTGAAAGATTTTCAACGGTGTTTATGGGATTGCCGTAAGATTGGCTCTCTTTTCTACTGTACGGTAATCCTCCATCCTCCTCTTCTTCTCTACAACCTCTGCAAACTTTTCTCCTCTTCTCACCAACACACTTCGTCTCGTCTAACACCTTACCTCACTTCATCTCATCTCATCTCATCTCACCTTTAAAACCACTACTACTACTATTACTACTACTACTATTACTACTATACACGAATGAAATGATCATCCTTTTCCAGCTTCAACCAGATGGAGGATAATCGAATATTTTCATTTTGTTTTACTTTACCGTTTATTTCTCGAAGTTCCATTTTATACGGAGATTTTATTTTTTCGACAACTAATTCATCTCTCTTTTACTCGAGTATATATAAAAAGGGGAAGATTTTTCACAAATATTATATATATATATATATTATATAAATTTTTATTATTTCTATCACATTTTTATATATTTTTCTGTATTTCAATTATTCACGAGAAACGAGACGAGTATTTTTTTTCTTCTTTTCGCAGATACTTATTCGTTTGAAAGAAAAAAAAATAATATAGAAAAATATTTCCACGTTGAATTCGAATCGCGTCTATCGTATCGTTTCTTCGTGGATACACTAAAGAGCTTTTAATTGACGCTTTCATCGATAAAAGCTGCTCGAAGCTGTCTCGAGGACCGAGAAAGAAATCGAGAAATACTATAACGATTGGCTATTTAAAATATTCAAATTATCTTTGGGGAATAGGGATATCGGATTTCACAAACAATTGTTGTATTACGAATTGAAATTTATAAAATTAATTAATTTTAAATGAAAAAAGAAACGTATTATAACTTTCGTACAAATTTTCCGATAAACACAATTCAAGTACGTTGTAAAAATTGAATTACCATCGTTAAAGGTGTTAATAAATGATGTTTAAATGATGTTTGTAAAAATGTAAATGTTAAAGATCATCCGTGCCAGGCCACGAGTACCTCGAAGCTGATTACGAGTGTGCACCTGGTTTTTACATGATCTCAACCGGAAGTCGATTACTATGCAGAAATCGCCAATGGATCGGCCAAGTGCCAAAATGTAAACTCAAACAAGCACCCGACGGTGTCTGTTCTGAAGTATCCTGCGAACACGTTTGTAAGGAAATCGATGGCAGAGCTGTTTGCTCTTGTTACAATGGATTTCGTTTGGAAGCTTACAAATGTATAGGTGAGCGATCAATTTGTCTATTATTTCATTGATTTTTCATTAATTATATTTCGTTAAATTATTCAAATAAATATCTTAAATACGTATAATATCGATCGGGATCGATTTAATTTAAAAAAAAAAATAAGAAACATTTTAAACGGAAATTTTCTGTCCTCGTGTTAGATATCGATATTATTTGTCGATAAACCATAATTCCCGATATTAATCTCGATGTCCACGAATTATTAGAGTACATACCGCAAATTAAATCTACACCAGGCTCCATTACTTTACGTTACTATACAAGCCAATACACGCGTATATATACATATATAATATATATTTTACTTAGTGTACTCTTGCAATTTAATTTTGCCGCGTTGAACGAACCGCACGAGTGTTTTCAATTAATTTTTCCTTTTTCTTTTTTTTTTCTCTCTTTTCATATGCGTATACTCTTGTTATTTGTAATATTCTCCCCCATGCTTTCGCAAATTCTTTACAAGAGAACATTTCAATATTATCGAAGTAAATAATACGCCAGGAGTCATTTGCGAAAAGCTTTTAAGGTATCATTATTTATTATGCTATAGAAAACAAAAATTATCATTTAATATTGAAATGTTAATAAGCAAACAAAAAAAGAAAAAAAAAACAAGGAAAAATACAACAAGGATCGTATTAAAAAAATAATTCCTGAAAAGTGTAGGTATGTAACGTAACTACAAAAGGGGAAAAAAGAACAAACAAACAAAGAGTGTAACATTTAATTGCTCCGGGTAACCGGTGTGTAAAATCACGTGTAGTATACTGTCGTGTCAGTGTCACTAGACTTTGTGTTTTATTTTTCTTTTTTTTTTCTTCTTCTTTCTCTTTCTCTTTCTCTCTCTCTCTCTCTCTCTCTCTCTCTCTCTCTCCCTTTGTTTTTTTTTCTCTCTTTTTGTTTTTTCATCCGAACCGCAGACGTGAACGAATGTGAGGAGAACAACGGCGGCTGTGAGTACAAATGCGTGAACACTCCTGGATCTTTTCGATGCGAATGTCCGAAGGGAATGAAACAGGGCGAGGACAGGTACACATGCATAGGTGAGCGATTTACGAGCAATCTAGAACGTCGGAAGTGATGTTGGGGAATTCGATGCGCATCGTCGGTTCTTTTCAATCGATGCGAACGAAATCCACCCGGTGATTTTTCTCTCCATCATCTAATCACCGTGCAAAAAAAAAAATAATTATTCTCAAAGATATACGAACATTAATTTCTTTTTTTTTTTTCTATATCTAAAAAGAAAGATCCCATTTTAATCTACGATAAAAAAGTAATTGATATTATTGGCATACCAATTTGTAGAAGGATAGATAAAAATGGGTATAATATTCGTCACGTTCGTATTTGTTGATTAGAATAAATCTTTATTGAAACAAATTTGGATAAAGAAATTTCATTATAATTATATTACGTTTTATTTTATTAAAGTCAATTTTTAATTATCTAAATATATGTATATTTATTGTGACATTTAAAAGGGATGCCTGGAAGAAAGTTTTTTTTTGGTGTACCCCACGTGCTTGTATGATTTAAAATTTTTATACGATGGAAGAACGTTGCTTGTGTCGTATTAAAAATAATTTCGCGTATAACTTTTTCTTACTTTCCCTGCGAAGTTTACAAATACGTAAAGTAGTACCTTTCTTCCAGAAATTCATTGATTCATTGATTAAAAATAAAATCTATATACCAGCGAGCAATCCCGAACGATGACACGATTATAATACCTAACTTAAACACAAAAATATAATCTAATAAAATGAAATTAAATAAAATGATTAATTGTTAAAAAAAATCAATAGAAAAGAAATGAAAGATCCAATTTGTTTCATCGATTCCAATTAGGATTGAAATGAAGGGAATAAAGGAAACATGATTTTCAGATATAAATGAATGCTTGCTGAACAACGGACACGGTCCTTGTCAGGACACGTGTCGGAACCTCATAGGTGGTTACGAATGTTCCTGCGAGGGTCTTCAGGACACGGTCCTGTCTGCCGATAACCACACGTGCCAGAACGCAGGTCCATGCAGTGTCAACAATGCCGGATGCTCTCACACTTGTCTCTCGACGATGGGTCGAGTGTTCTGCCTCTGTCCGGACGGCTTCATGCTCGAGGACGACTGGAAGACCTGTCAAGGTAAACCTCATCTCCCTTAGGGTATACGGTTCGTTCGTTTAATCGCGTTAATTGAATACCGTAGAGAGAAACTTGTCCTGGTATAGCAATCTTCATCAAATCGTATCCTTTTACACGCATGCAAATATCTCTCCTTGATATATTATTAATGTTTCCTTATATTTCTGGAAATAATCGAAATAACTTATCTTTGTATCGTTAATATTTTCATTTAATTTTCGATCTTATATTAATAATCCGTATTAATTAATTTTCATATTAATAATTTGTCATTATTTGGGAATTAATTATGCGTCTTGATCTTTCATGAAATATGGATAAAAGTCATTGAAAATAATGAAGATTATTTTATGGTATATCAGATGAGTGAGAATACGATTGTTTTATAAATAAATATATTAAATTCGTTTCTGTGGAAGATATTAAATTGATTTATTTTTGAAATAAAATTTAGATAAAATTTTGTTCATTGTATAAATATATAAGTGATTAAAAACGATATCAATATTTGTATTATATAATATATTAATAATATTTAATTATTAATATATTATATATATTATATTATATATATTATAATTTATTCGTTTTACAGTTTCTCTCTAAAGAAGCGTATAATAAATTTGATATATTATTATAATATATAATATGTATATGTTGTGCATCGAGAAATGAATATTTTGCAATGGGAGAAAAAATGAATTGCATCGTTTGTTTCAGACGTAGACGAATGTGCAGTACCCGATCTTCAAACGGAAGTGTGCCGTTACGGATGTATCAACACCCAAGGATCTTACAGATGCGCTGAACCAATGGAGCTGAAGGATCAACCGATAGCAGACAGCCTCTCCATCACTTGCCTGCCCGGATACGAGGTGTCCGCAGACGGTTCTTGTGTGGGTGAGTTCCTGATCCTTACGATAAACCTACTGGACGTGTGCTACGATCCAATTTTATCTATTCTATCTAATATGTTTAAACGTTTATAGAAAAGAGGAACTTTACCTTAAGAATTTATCCTTCATTCGATTCTTCAATATTTAATACGATGACGATACTTTTAATTAATTATTTATTAGATCAATATTTGAAATAAATAATATATAATATTACCGTTCAATATATATTATAGATCGTTTGATACGATTATAAGTAAATGTACATATATCTTGAATCAAGATTAAATCTTAAACTATTATTATTACAAATATCGATTATAATTATCATTTATACATTGACAATAATTATTCGTATATGCGTTTGATGATCGTATTTAGATTAAGAAATATTGATCATACGAATGGAAGTGTATTTTTGAAACGAGAATAAGTATAATTGAATGTGAATCACAAATTATTATTTTTAATTGAAAAATAATGTTTCGATCGGATCGAGTAAAAAAAACATATTAGCGGATGAATTAAAAGTTGAAGTCAATATATTTTCTAAAGAAGAAACTTCGTTAGATATTTCTCTTTTGATCGTTTCAATTTCACATTACGGATTTCTATCAATGCGGTGCGAAATTTCATACGCTACGTTGTAAGTGTAATACCGAAAGTTGTTTCTCTGTAGTACGTTAACTACGGTAGCTCGTTAGCATGTTGTTTAGTTATTTACTCGGTTATTCCGCGATATACAGAGGATTATACAGTTTAATGATAATAGATGCCTCTAGGGATGCTAAACTTTGTCCGCACGGACATAGTCAACCGATTTAGAAGCATATAACTACCAGACCAACCACAGGACTATCTTTGCGGGATACGCTTTGCAAAATCGTTCCTTCTTTATTGACATTAATTAAGGAAAATATCGAATTACGTTATTCGTTTCGAACTGAAAGATAATTTTTTATTTTTTATTTCTCTTTTTATATATATGTGTATAGTAAATATATTTTGCACGATCAAATCTGTACAGTGTTATTAAATAATAACGTTGAAGATAACAAAAAAATAGTTATACATATTAAAGTGGAATAAAGATTATCTTGATTCATTGAAATGTCATCAGGTTAATCACGTCAAATGTATTTTCATTTTGTCATTAATATCTATGAAAAGTAAATTTTAAATTGCGCGAAACGAATAAACGATGAAATATATATAGGGGAGAGAATAAATAAAATTAGGATGTAAATTAAAAGAGTTATATACTTTTATTCGAAAGAAAGATAGATCTTTTGTTCGGAGTGGGGTGGTGGTGGGATTGGGGTGAGGAGAAATTTTTGAATAAACCGCAAATATCACTTTTCGTTATTAAACATATCTAATTTATGAAATATATATCTATCTATCTATATATATAAAAATGAATCCCTCTTTCCCTTGGTCACGTCATAACTTGAGAACAATTTTACCGATTTCATTCATCTTTTTCTTTTAAGTTTTCTAATACTTTGTAAAAGGTTCTTACTGTAAGAAAAATTAAGAAAATTGCTAACAAAAATTTACAAATTTGAGAAAAATTAACGAAAGAGGTGAGTGTGTTTACAGAAATTGGTGAAGGAATGGCAGTGAATTATATATATATATATATATGTATATAAATAAAAATAGTAATAGTCTAATTTCGCGTGTCCCGTGTAGATTACATTGCAACAACGTACAAGCAATGTAATTTCGTCGAACGGTTTAAAGCGCGTACTACAGCTTTTAAAAGCCGATGGACGGTGGATAAATTTAAAGCGAATCGATGGGCCTCTCTCTATATATCTACCATGGATAACAATTCCCCCGTAGGGAGATGAAGGCTCTAACGAAATTTCGGATAGGGTCCTCGTCAAGCCCCGGTAACATCGTACGAGACGTAAATAATCGAATCAGCTTGGAACATGGATCCACTTTATGTACATGCTACGCGTAACTCCGTGTCGACTATCTATGCTGAATTACAATTAGGCTTCTCTCCGATCATTACATTATACGTAATAAAAATATTTTGTTTTTCTTTTTTTCTTTTTTTTCTCTTTTTTTTTTATTCTAAGTTTAACACACACACACACACAACATAATATTTAATTAATGTAATATAATACCATAAAATTCGAAATGGCTTTTATTTTTTGTTAAAAAGAAATATTAACTAACATCAAGTTGATGAAATTGTAATATAAAAGTAGAAAGGATTAGTCAAAGAAATATAAGGTTTTTTTTATACGTGTTTTCAATTTAATATTAATTACATTGTTCGGTGCGATTTGTTGAGCTGATTTTTTGTTTATTAATAGAGACAGATCGATTTGATTATGTATCACTTTTTATGGAATACAGTATTCCAATTTTATTTGCAATAAGATTTTACTATTTTCCTATTTATATCTTTTAAATAGTGTCCCGTATAAATTTTGAATTGTCATATCTACACAAACAAATTTTTTCATTTTACAAATCTTAGTTAGATATCGTATATATTTTGACGTATAACATTATATTCAATTCTTTGAAATTAAACAAATATATATTTTTTATTTTCTATATGGATAACAATTTTGTTTAATTAAAAGTATCGATATTGTTAATTGAGCAATATATTGTATAATCGAATCGTTTGTCTTTCTTTCAACAAAGTTTCTCAACGATGAAAAATTTCATCGCAAATATTTTACTTGAGGAACAACGTTAGGATAATCTAACGAGGAATTTGCGGGGGTGGGGGGGGGTAGGAGGAGGAGGAGGAACGAAAGCAACTAACGAGATTTTCCTAACGGCCTCGTTCGTACCACCTCGTACGTAGATCATCCGTGTACACCTAATCGAATTAGATCACACGTGGATCCGTGCTCGCGGCACGATGACAGCTCGTATTAGTATCATGCCTAAATCATTCGGTGCACTCGCATGAAACGCATTAAAGGGACCAACCAAGTTGAACGACGATATACAATTATCGATGTTGTTATTAAAGCAAGTGTTCATGCAATCGCGTCAAGATCCGATCTATTAATGTTCTTGTCTCCGTGAGTTAATTGACATATCCTAATCGTCCTATTCAATTTTCATTTTCGCGACAAGATATAAGATCACTATCTCGGTTCGATCAAGAAAGATTAACAAGTATAGATAATTAGAATATTTTTGGTTTTTTATTATATTATATATATGTATATGTTACCGTCGAAGTCGGAAATCAGTCATTGCTAGTAATTTTTCGACATTCTCATCAATGCAAAGAGCATTCCGATGAAGTCGGAAACAGAAGAATTCTTACAGTTTTTCCTAAACATTGAAAATAATACTTTGATATTTTATAGAATATCAAATTACTATTTAAACAATGTTGAAAAGAATACATCCTCGGGACAGGCACATACAGCACTACGCAACCATTTCAAAGAAATATCAGAGATTGCAATGCTGTAAATTGTGCATCTTTGCAATTTCTTTGAAAAGTTTTGGTAAATATTTTTTATACTAAAAGTAAATAGATTTTAATAAAACTTATATTAAATTAATTACCGGCTTCGACGGTAATATATATAATATTATAATATGTTTTTTTATAAATATTATAATATTTTTTCTTGTATATATAATCAGATTTTTATTGTACAAATTACAAAGTTTTTTACAATGTTTATTTTTTGTTGTATTACTCATCAGTAATTGAAAGGTAGTTTTAGTAGGTTACAATTAATAAATATTAGTATGACGTTAAAAAAAAGATAAATTAAAAAGAAGGAGGAAATATAAAAGAGACAGAAATGAATAAAATAAAAATCATATTATACGTAAAGGTAACTAATTGCAATTGATTATAAATTATAGAAAGATTAAAAAAATTATTAAATATTGTAACATGTGTGTGAAAGAGTATAAATTCATTCAAACGAGAGATTAATCTGGATAGACATTTACTTTCGTTAGGAATTAGAATGACTGATTATAATAATAATAATAATCGTTAGAAATGTTTGATAAATCTATTATCAAATTGACACATTTGAAAATTCACTATAAGCGTTAACTTATTAGGAGAATTATTATCATCATTGAATTCGCGTCGCGCGTTTGTATCTATAACTAATTAATTACTTAAACTAACGTTGCAGTGATAACAAGAGATTCTGTTGGACCTTGTTACTCGGAACATGTCGGAATATCTCTATTCTAGTTTAATTCGATTTCGTAGTCCGATCTAATTGCGTTGAATCCAACCAAGATCGAAGCTTCGGTCTATTCGTTGAAGAAAATTACGTTCACGTTTGGGGTATTCATCATCATAATTATCTCAAGTAATTCATGATTTTCTTAATAGTTAAAATGGTACCTCAAATATATTAAACATTTCAAAACAAACAAAAATATATTCTACAAAATATTCGATCTTACAAATTTACCAATTAACCTAATAATTAGATGCATCATCGTGTTTTTTTTGTGTTATGTTATTTTACATATTATGACAATGTGATGTCCACATAGAACAAATTTATAAGAAAAACATGAAAACAAGAGATGAATAACATTTTCTAATTGGAATTGCAAAATGATTTGTGTGTGTGTGTGTTTTTTTTAAATACAAATTGACGATAGTTAAATTAGATTAGAATAAAATTTAGGGGAACGGAAATTATCTCCCACCCTTCTCCAAAAAAAAAGGAAAAAACAAACACACCATCGTCAATTATTTTCTCAGTTTCGTTTAACAAGGCGTATAAAGGAGTCATCAAAAAATTCCTGTGAGAGAAGGAATTTACTTCGGTGGGAAGGGGGAGGAGCAAAAAAAAAAAAAAAAGAGAAAATGGCGGCCATTCGAAGTATGAAAAGCCGCCGGGGAGAGTTTAAGCTCGGCAACGCGCTTTGAAAAAATTCCCGCTAGTTCGCGAAAAATTGTCGGAGCGTGACTCCGCTTATATTTGCTGTATAAATTTAAGGGAAGATTCTCTTTTCTCTTTT